TATGTATGTCTGTATATATATATATATATATATATATATATATAAAACTCACCCAGATCCATGTCGAGGTTAAAGTCTCCTGGAGCTCCGTCAAGCCCTAACTCGCTCTCGCCCATATCCAGATCCAAATTGATCTCGCCGTTGGCTTTGCCAGTATCATTGATCTCACTGATGTCAGCGCCTGCCTGGGCGTCACGCGGCATTTCGATATCCGACTCAGACGTCCCGCTATAAACCGGGACGATAAAATATGGTGATATGTGGTTAGAATCTAAAAACATAGATCAGTGACAAGTGTATTGCTAAGGACGACCGTACGTGATCTCTGCAACGGTAAGGACAAGGGATAAAAATGTAGCCATCCCTCAGTGTACAAAGATAATGCCTCTACGTGTGCATATGTATCGAATTGTGGTGTAAAATCTGTCTCAGAAACCACTTCAATAGTAAGTATATAACTGAACGACGGGATTAGAGTCGGCCAAGGTGTAACCACATAACTCCATGTCAAATTCGTACTCACAGCATATAGATATAATACAGCCCATCCCAAGTAAGCCTATTCAAGCACCGACTTACGCTTTCTCCTTTCCTTTAGGCGCGATTTTGTTGCCATGCTCATCCACTGCAACGCGGCTGTTACTGTGTGGTGCGAATTTGCGACGGAGTACGAATGAGTTCTGTGTTAGTATTAAAATCTAGTACGGCTGTGTGAGTCTACCGCCAATAGGCCCTTAACTATAATTGCCTTACAAGAAGCTCTGTCCAAGCATCCCTCCAGAAATTCGTGTTTAAGATGGCTTTAGAAGGTGATTTTGGTGGCAGTCCATCTCCTATTTCCGAATATGATCCAAAGCTTTTGTTTGTCGATACATGCAACATGCATGCTAGTGTAGTTTGGTCACATGTACAAGGCCAGTTTATACGCAAACAGAAGCTTGTGAGTTTTAACCTATACGTTAAAATGTGCGCGCTTATATATGTAAGCGATGTCCATCCCACTCCCTTGCCTCGTTCAGCTGCATGCTGATTGGATTGTAAATGTATATTTCTTGCTCAAAAGCAAGCGAATGTTTTGTGCTCAACCACAGCCGCGATAATCAGACACCCAAGAAAAACACAGCTGCGATGAAAATTGCTGTACAAGTGTAAGCAAAACACACAGGTACACAACAACGCTTTGAATTCTCGATCGCCGTCTCCGACACGCGCGCACACGATCACGCCTCAGACCAAAATAAACACAGATAAAATGCAAAGTGCACCCATAGACCTAGTCAACCCCAACCAACCCCAACATACTCAAACATGCTCAGGTCCAAGCTCTCGTCCACTTCGGGTCTATAACTGGTCTCCACGCCGGCGTCTCGCCCGGCCTCAATTTCCAGGTCCAGGTCTATGTCATTGAGATCATCCAGGTTCATATCACCCGCCATGAGCATGTTGCTATCCATGTCTAGATCATTGCTATCCATGTTTAGGCCCCCTGTTATATCCTCCTCATCGATTCCCTGAGCGGCCAGTGCCTCGTGCAGAGTGATGTCGTGGTCCGCGGCGGTGATCAGGTCGGAGTTTCCGATGTAGTCGTTGAGTCCCACCTCTCTGTGTGTGTATAGTTAATATATATATATATAATAACCATTAGTATAGTGTGCAATAGCTACGCATACACCCCCCACCCAATACTATAAACCTATCTACACAACATATATACACACACAACATCCCTGGAAGGCAAAAATGTAAAACATTAAAAAAGGCACGATCGACTGTGCAGTTCGAAGTCAGTCCCACCCGCTAGCAAGACAGTAAAGAACGACTGCCTTAGTCGGTCCAAATAGCAACTGACTGAAATGAACATACAGAAGGGCTTGATCGAGATCCAGGTTTCCAATAGAGTTCACGTCCTTGTCGGCGAGTGTGATGGCGTTGGCGGCAACTGTTTGTTGATTTTCGGGCATATCCACTGTGCCCGGGCGGAAGGCGACCTGAGGAGTGCGTGCGATGCATTGAGCCTTGGGTGTTTCACGTACAGAGATTATGGAAAATTAGCTCTGCCAGCAAGACTTGTAGACATATACGCAGCTAAGCAAATCCTGACAACGAAGCATGCACATATTGGTATATCTGAATGTGCATCAGTAGCATATACCGAACAGCCGATAGAAACATCGAAAGAAAAGACACGGGCTTTAACAATGGAAATGAGATTCTAGCAATTCTATCAACTGTCAACCGCAATACAAGCACGTATAAGGCAAGCAATCGGTACTTGCACTGCTTGACCAACACAGCATACCTTGATCTTCGACAGCGCATCGCTGGCATCGTTGAGCAGATACTTGGCTTTGCGCGAATAGATTTTAACGACACCGACCAGCAGATGGCCACAAGTACGGAGGGCTATTGGCACTGCTGGTGAAACGATGTACTCGACTTTTTTCTGTAGCGATACGATAACGCAGAGATAGCATGAAATATTATAATATGTCTCGTCGTCTGATAAAGTGGACTATTGTATTGCCAAATTGAATTGTGGTCATGTGGAGAAATCGGCGATTAATTCACAGAATTCTTATACGTATATATATATATGTGGGGGGGGGGGGTNAGGGGGGGGGTGTATGTGTATGTGTACAGTATAAATATATATATATACATTATATATAATTATATATTATATA